TCCATAATCTGGAGGTTCCCTGCCTCACCAAGCAGCACCACAACTGGGGACTAAACGTTCAAATGTGTGAACTGAAGAGACACTCTCATTCAAACCTCCACACCCACTGCTGAGCCACACCCACTGCTGAGCCACACCCACTGCTGAGCCACACCCACTGCCGAACCGCACCCACTGCAGAGCCACACACTGCTGAGCCACACCCACTTCTGAGCCGCGACTTCTGTTTTGGTCAGGGTTGCTCGTTGGAACACTGTGAGGCTTCATTTGGCTCACACTTCCACACCACACACTGTTCATCGTTACTGAAGGAAGTCAGGACAGGAACTAGAACAGGCCAGGAACCTGGAGGCAGGAGCTGATGGAGAGGCCATGGAGCCATGCTGCTTACTGGCTTGCTCAACTTATTTTCTTATAGAACCTAAGACCATCAGCCCAGGGGTGGCCCTTCCCACAATGCACTAAGTCCTCCCACATCAATCTAATCACTAATTAAAAAGATGAGCTAAAGGCTTGCCTGCAGCCTGGTCTTATGTAGGCATCTCTCAATTGAGGCTCCCTCTTCTCTGGTGACTCTAGCCTGTGTCAGCTTGACATGAAACCAGCCACTGCAACAGCCCAGGAAAGATTAGTTTTGATCAGGCTGTGTTTATGGCTTGTGCACAAACAACAGCCTAATATCTGCCTTATTTTTATAACAGATTTATTTTTATTATTTTTGACTATGTGAAGGCGTGTGTCTGCATGTGGTTATGTCACAAAGTGCAGGTGCCCTTGGAGGCATGTTGCATTAGGAGCGGCGAGGCTGCGTCCCCAGCACCTGGCCACCCGCATGGCTAGGTTATGCCCCAAAATAATTACACGAAGACTGTATTTTTTTAAACACTGCCTGACCCATTAGTTCCAGCCTCTTATTGGCTAGCTCTTACATTTGTTCTAACCCATTTCTAATATTCTATGTAGCCCACGAGCTGGCTTACCAGGGAGGATCTTAACCTGCATCTGTCTGGAGCGGGAGAATCATGGCGACTCCTCGACTAAGCTTCTTTCTCCCAGAATTCTGTTCTGTTTTCTCCACCCACCTAAGGGTTGGCCTATCAACGGGCCTAGGCAGTTTCTTTATTAATAGGAAATCACTCCCACATCATTTTCCCTTTTTCTGTTTAAACAAAAAAGGCTTTAACTTTAACGCAGGTTAAGATCCTCCCTGGTAAGCCAGCTCGTGGGCTACATAGAA